GGGACCCCCTCCCGGCCCCCGTCCGGGGGGCGGGGGGAGTGTGTGCCCATCCCCCGCGCCTGTACCGCCTCGCACCTGCTCTGCCCACTCCCGGTTGCCTCTTCGCCCCTCCATGGGGGGCTGGTCCCCGATTTGCACCTGCTTCCCTCCGCAGGCCAGCTCCGTGGAGCAGCTGCGGAAAGATGGCAACGAGCTGTTCAAATGCGGGGACTACGAGGGCGCCCTGGCGGCCTACACCCAGGCCCTGGATCTGGGTGCGACGCCCCAGGACCAGGCCGTCCTGCACCGGAACCGGGCCGCCTGCCACCTTAAGCTGGTGAGGGAGCCCGGGCTGCCGGGTCCGCTTTGTCCATCTCGCCGCTGCGCGGGGGCCCTGGCTGGACATTCACCTTCTCAGGCCGCCCACACCTGCGGGATGTCTTTGGGGGCCCAGGGGGCCGGGTGGCAGGGGGAACAGCCCTGCCCCTCTGTGGACTGCCTCCTTTTCTTTTGCAGGAAGATTACAGCAAAGCAGAAACCGAGGCCTCCAAAGGTGGGGAACGCGCCCTGTGTGGAGGGAGCTTGTGGGGCTCTGTGGTGGGCAAGGACCGGGGACCCTGCATGACCACCTTCTCCTCTTTCCCCCCTGGAGCCCACCTGCCTGCCTGCCCACTTCCTCGGGCCTTTCCTTTTCTGCAGCTGCCTGCACCTTTTCTGCGGCCGGAGTGCTGAGCCCCACAGCCGTCCCCCCACCTTCCTCTGGCCCTCGAGATCTTTCCCTCCTGCTCCCGCCTGGAGACGGTGGCCTCCCGGGTGCTGACCGAGCTCCCGTTTGTGCTCAGCCATCGACAAGGACGGCGGGGACGTCAAGGCGCTTTACCGGCGGAGCCAGGCCCTGGAGAAGCTGGGCCGCCTGGACCAGGCCGTCCTGGACCTGCAGAGGTGCGTGAGCCTGGAGCCCAAGAACAGAGTTTTCCAGGAGGCCTTGCGCAGCATCGGGGGCCAGATTCAGGGGAAGGGACGTGGGGGCGGGGGCGGGGGCGGGGGCGCGGGGCATTGACTGGTGGCGGAGGGACCCTGGGAAGGGGTGTGGGTCGAAGGCGGAGACACAGTTCTGCAGGGAGGATGGCCCCCCGAGCTTACAGAAAGATGCGCAGCCTCACCAGGGGGTAGGGAAACGCAAACTAAAATACCAGCGAGGTGCTGGCTTCTCGTCGGTCTGCCTGGCACTGTTTAAAGTTTGTGCACATGCCCTAGCGCAAACTAAAATACCAGCGAGGTGCTGGCTTCTCCTCCGTCTGCCTGGCGCTGTTTAAAGTTTGTGCACTTGCCCCAGCCCGGTGGTCGGCAAACTCATTAGTCAACAGAGCCAGATATCAACAGTACAACGACTTAAATTTCTTTTGAGAGCCAAATGTTTTAAACTGAAACTATATAGGTAGGTACATTGTGATTGACTTAATTAGGGTCCTCCTAAGGCTTAGGAAGAGCCACACTCAAGGGGCCAAAAAG